CTTCCAGTTTTAACATTTTCACTTTCAAGTTTTCAACAAAGTCTTTGCAATGCATTTGAGCTGTAACGATTTGATTCAAATCATTTCACTTTTCTGCATTTCTCCGCTAAGTTCAGCAACACACATACTTGGTTTTTGTAGCTAAAAGCAGCTACAGAGACCATTCAACTAATAACATATTCAGCCTTTTCAGCTAAATTCAGCAGCAAATGTACTCAGTTTACAGCATTCGCACACATTTTCAGCAGGAAATGCATTTTCTAGTGGGAGTCTACTTTTCCATGATCTGATGGGGTTTATCAAATGATAAAAGAGTATCCCCCCCACCCCACCCCAACGGTGTATTGAGCAGCGGAGTGCATGTTGAGGCAGACCAGAGCCCGGTCGATAGCTCATCATTCCCCATCATTGGGGACGGTAAATCTCCTCTCTGACTGAGTGAAGATTGGAGGGCAGTCTTCTCAGAAAGGACGGTTTAAAAGACCCATTCAAAACACATTAAGAAGGGTTTGAATACATTACTGCTACTTTCAAGCTGAATAGCAGGTTAAATTACAAGATGAGTAGGCTTTCTTTCGGGTTATAGAACTCATTAAGGGGAATCTGGTGGAAACTTAACTTCTTGCTTTTGGCAATCTGATACTAACTTTAACTCAGATTTAACGTTGGGTATTGAAATCAAAGCTTGATTGCCAAAATAAATCTCTACTTACAGCTTTAAACATTCACACCCCGCATGCATAACTGAACGCTGACACACATGGCGACAGATGGCCCATTATATGTGAGTGTTTGGATGCTCAAAATGGAAAATCTAAATTAATTCCTATCAAGTTGGTCAGGAAAAAAACATTCCTAAAAGGTCACCTATTGAAAAATGTAGTATAAACAAAGAGGGCTTGACATCCAATTCTATTGTCACTTGATTTTTCCTATAGTCTCATGAACATTAACTCCACAGAGTGACGTGGCAAACCAAATAAAGATCAGCCTACTTTCTTTCTTCAGCTCAAAGGGAGGAAGTGCAGCGATATGTCAGACGGCTGTTGCGGCTTTCTGTGTGGCTCTGCCATATTAAAACTTAACCAGATAGACCAGCTTCAGCAATATTAGCAAACATCACTTTTGAAAGGACAACAATGAAATCGTTATATAAACTGAGGTACTGCTAAAGAAATACCTCATTAAATATTGTCATAATATAGTATGTTACACCAAGGTGGTATTGCTTTATATTAAAGTCTTTCATTGAGGGTTATTAACACCATGTGTTAAATACTATTAACTTAACATTAGCATCATCAACAATTTACCTTTTAGATTAAAATACATTTATCAGCAATTGTCGGAAGCTTGTTAACACTTGATGGACTGCTTTGGAACGTTAATAAAAGCCTAATTTTCTAATTTCCTTAGTTTCTTATAAATGTTGATAATAGCATTACAAACTAATGTATTAAGTTTAGCTAATGTACCTCTATCAATTTGAAACCTTAAATAAGCTGTTTTTGTTTCTCATTTAAGATGAATACATACTTTTTATGCATTGCTTTTTATCAGTTCACTATGCTTTTTGCAGGTAGCTATTCTAAAGAGAGAACAATCCCATTATTAAAAGGTTAATGAAACCTCTTCTATGTAGCAACAAAGGTCAATACATGTTTCCACAAAGAGAGCATTTTATGCTGTGTGTTTGCTAAAACGTGGTTATTTAAACGTAATTCTTAACTCCGATCTTACCATTTCTAACAATAGATGTATTTGAGATGGGGCAATTGTGAGAAGCATAGCTGAATGTGGCGAAAAAACCTAACCAACTTCCTTATTACCAAGTCACTATTGCTCATTACAGATGTAAGTATAAAAAGTTACCGAGCAGCCTCACCTGACCTGTTTTGTCTGATAATAAGCTTTAATCATGTGTCATGCAAAGAAGGAAGGAGAGTCTAATCTACTCAATTTGAATATATTCAAAATAACCAAATGATTCCCCGGCTAAGGTATGTCTTTCATTCCAGTTCACTCTGCTTTAGCCACTACCCGATTAACCTGGAGACAGTAGATTGAAAACAGAAAGGTTAAAAAGTTACTATAGAAATATCAGAAGATAACCACTGGAAAAGTGTTGGATCAAGCTTCTAGCTTTTAATATATTTGTGACCTTGAGTCAAATCAGGTCATAAGGAACATCATTTTAGATCCTGAGCCGAAACCACTCCAGGCAACAACAACAATGTAAAGCGTTAGGGTCGGTGCAGCAGTGGAACAGGGGCTGTGTTCCACCATAAACAACATTTTAAAGCATGATTTACATGGGGAAAAGTGGGCCCAAACTCCAGAGTCCTGCAGTTACGGCCTAACACAACAGCACTTAGAGAAGATATATTGTGTCATGTTCATTTTTAGAGCTACTTTCCTACTTTCAGATATAGCAACAGCAATTCCATCCTCAGACTCTGGGGACGTACTGGAAAAAAAAAGAAGTTATTATGCATTCAGGATTCCCTCACTCCACCCGTCCCCGACCTTCACCACCCTCCGACTGAAACCAGGGTCACAGTTTGAGGTGCTGCAGCAGAGGGAGCTTTGACTGATCGTTTTTTCCCAGTTCAGCAGAAGTGCTCTGCCCGTTTCCCCTCACTGAAACCATATCTACACTGGGTGGAAAGGAAAAGCCTGAAATACACAGGTTTCCACGTTTCCACATGAAAATAGACCACTACTGGTAATTTATCTCAAGATCACCCAAAAAAACTGGCCGTCATTTTGAAAGATTAGAACATAGAATGAGGCAATGTAGCCATTTAATGTCCAGTTATTTTTAGGACGTCTTGCTCATTCAAGGTTAGCCTTTGATTAAAGGCTAAAAAGGTGGTAAATAACATTCTTATAATGAAGATTTATTTGTTTTCCTGCCACAAAAAGGTATATATACAGCAAAAAATTTTACTAAAAAAACATCGGCATTGGCCAAATTGTTACTCTAAGCATCGGTATCAAATGCAATCCAGGATGAATATGGAGTTATAATACTTTGGGTGTTACTTACGAAGGACACGCAGGCAGCGAGCAGCAGGATCCGCACCATGAGGTCTTCAAACTGCTCCGCCATCAGATCCCACAGGGACTTTCCTGAAATATGCACAAGCCTTTATGTTTAACTTTTTGGTGCAAAAGCAAAATAGAAGTGACATCCAAGAAAGCACAAATAACTAATGTGTCATAAAGAATGCGATTCATTGCAAATAAAAACCACTAACAAATAAAAAAAGGGTAAAATTAGATCAAAACAAATCTAACATCCTGCAATCACTGCGACTTTAATTATTGCACAACAATAGATCTAGGTGTTAATTGGAAGGGAGAACAAATACCAAACAATATATTCATTTTTTATCAGTTTAGGTTAGTGTAATGCACAGCAACCACCACGCCCTATTTAAAGTTTGAGTCTTCCACTCTCAAAGTGTATCCTTATTCTTAAGGGTGGGGCGGATCTGTGAGATGTATTGACATTGGTTTGCTTTGTACTGAACAGCAAAGCAAGACAAATTAGTGTTTACAGAGGAGTAGTGGAGTGTGTCCTTTGGTGAAAGCTGCAGTAGTGTACACTCCCAAAGTTCAGTCCTCTGTCTACAGAGCAGAAAAGATCCCGGCTCAAGACGGCTAATCAGCTCGTAAAGGGAGGAGGATCGCAGCGCACTGGAAAAATCAATATTTACCTTCTTCAGCGGGGAGCTCTGTGGATGTCACACCAGTCCGGTTGTAAAAGGATCCAATTGGCAGGGCAGGAGAGAGTGATGGGTGGAGTTGGGGGGGATTAGGGGGGTGGAGGAGAGAGACAAGAACAGTTAATACATTTGATGAACTCCGTCAGACTGTGATATGCATGCAAGCGTACAAATTTCCCTGCAGGATCGTTCTGCTGGGTGATGATGAGAAGGCAGAACGGCAATACTGTGGGATTAATACCCGCTATTGTATTATTAATCAGTTGAATAACTAGCAATCAAAGCCGAGGATATGCTATTCTGAACTCAAGATGTTTTATATTCCACCTTCAGTAGCTTTAGTGTAGCTTCAGGCCTCGCGCTGCATAATGAAACCCAGAACAATGGGAGAGCACTGTGATAAGAATCAGCTTCATAAAGCACCTCAAGGAAAATGTATGATTTGTAATAATTGGCTATATAAATACAATTTATTTAATTACATGAGACATTACCAAGGCCTTTTGTACGAGTATGACTGCTCATCTCATGATCTGGTAAAGGTTATCTGAAATCCTGCCTCTTTAAATGCTTATATTTTTGTAAAAAAAAGTGCGTGCATATTTCTTTGCAATACAAAATAAATGTTTCTATGCATTTAATTATTGACTAATCTAACCATTATTTCTCGATTAATTGTTTGGTGAAAATGCCCTTTATGTACACGTAAATGCAATGTTGGCATAATCATTATTGCTCGGTCAAAAACACACTAACAGTTGTTTAATGTTATCGAAGATACTATGAAACTGAAAATATGAACAGTTAATGGAGTGGAAGCGATGCAGTTTTGGTAATTACTTGATAATAAAGAAATGACTGAAAACATTTTCATTTCCAAATTATTTCAGCTCCAAAACCTTGCAGGGTTCTATACATATATTTTAATATGGTAGATTTGGTCTGTTCCAACAATTATTATTTTCTTTTAGGCAAATATTTTTGTAATTATTATAGAATATTAGCGAAATGGCAAACATTGTTATACTCAGTTTTTGAAGCAATTTATCAAGCAAACAAACATAGCATGAGTGATCATTTGTTCAGCGTTAATGTTATTTATTTCGTTTTGGATGGCTCGAAACACACAATTCCAAATAGTAGCTTCAGGGTCTGAGAACTTGTGACTAGTATTTTTCTTTTCTTGTTTTATTCTCAAACAGTGCCTCAATTCATCAAAAAAGTAATTGAAAGGGTTAAACATTGGACATAATCAATAGTTGGAGCCCTATCTGAAATGAATTTTAGAATTAGGCTAACTTTGCTCCGATTGTCCAGGCAACACTTTTCCTTTATCAGAGCTGCGGTGATCTCATTGGCATTCACACTGCAGCTTCACTCTCTCAACAGTTTTTTCGCAGTCTCAGTGCTTTCGTCATCAGCATGTTCATCAGTGTGTGGGTAAGCTCCCACAAAAACAAACCCGTGAATCAAAACACATTGCTCTTTTCTTTCACATCATCTTGTAATTTTTCATCTGTCATTTGTAAAGAAAAAGCTGGTGTTTTTCTGGCATTTTGAGGCAAGCTGAAGATTTCTTCTGATTTGATTACCAGAACTGACACCCACCACACAGATGAGTCACTGGTGTGAGTAGAAAACACATCAGTCATGTTCTAAAAACATTCCAATTGACAACTACTGTTGATCAGTGCCACCACGATGAGACGCAGGCGTGCTGAGTCACTGGAAGATTCTCACCCAGTCCAACGCAAAGCTACGGACGAATGGCTCCAATGTAACAAATAACATCCATCACAACTAAGAAATGTGATATATGATAATAAAATCCATAATTTCCAGCTGGATTTAGTGCATTTGCCCTCAAAGCCTTCATTTTATCATCTTCTCTTTCGGTAAAGGTGAATCTCTTGTTTAAACAGTGGAAACCTCATGTTTCTCTGCATGTTTTGACCAGACGGTGCTACACGAGTAAAACACGTGACCCTGTGCACAGCCTCCTTCCAAGAACAAAAACTCTGCAGCTACATATTAAACGTGCCACTGGCAGAAAGAGAAACAATTTTACATTATGACTTCTGTAATCATTCCATGACTTCCAAAGTGCTTTCCCTGTAGTCAAAAACAATCCAACCCAAGGAGATGTTAGTTTTTTGAGAATACAGGTGAAATCATTTGCCTAATTTGGCTTGTAATGAAACCAGAGGGAGCTAAATGGATTGTACAAACAAGCTATTAAAGAACTGAGAAGTTCTTGGATAGGCATTAACGCCAAGAATATGATAACGCCTCCAGTCGGACCAAAACATGATCTGCTGAATATTATTCGTCTATTAGGTAACAACCTACTTGGGAGCGTGCATAATAATAGCTGATGAGTCATTGTAAATTGCTTTTCAAACTCGCTGTCTGGAGGGTTTTCAGAGTTCAGGTTGGACACGGTTGAACTCACGGGGGACTTTTGGCCAGCAGCGGCGAGGTGGAGTAGTGGGTTCTGCTGTTTTCCATGCTCCAGTAGTCTGACATGAGCCTGTTTCCCCATTACTGTGCCTCCCTGGTTGTATAATGTTTTTAATAGCAGACAGGCTGGCTGCGAGTTGAGTGCTGGAGACAAGAATTGACAGAGTGAGAGGACAAGACAGACAAAAGGGGAAAGAGAGAAGAGAGGGGAAGGGAAGAGAGACAGGGCTGGAAGTGTTGGATGGGGTTCCCCGACTTCCCTCTGCCAAGGATTCCCTCTCAGTCATCTGGCCCGTGTCAACCCAAAGGCTTGCCCAGGCACATTCCTGAACACTGACTTCACCTCTCTCCCTCGCTCCGTGTCCCCACAGCACCTCCCTCTCGGCCCAGACAATGAATAAAAGAGCTTGTTTACTCGCAGCAGAAAGCGAGCAGCGCAGAGCAGAGGGGAGACACTTCCTGGAGATAGTTGCCAACAACAGCAGAGAGCTGTGTCCAGAGGCAGGAACAGAAGCAGGAAACATGGCCTGTCTGTCTCTCCGCAATGGCAATGGACGTGCTGATAGGAGCTCTCAGCGCCAGCTCTTCTTCAGAATCCATTACTGAATTACAGCCCGGATTATCGAGACCCCCAGTCAACATCACATCTGAGTGTGGTTAGGCAGTATTAACAAGCCAGGCCCACTTGCGCAAAATACAAACATGATAAAGTTTTCAGCAGTTACCATGGCGACTTGGCTCATGAAGGCTCCTCGAAAAACAAGCGTTTTCACGAGGTAATGTGCCAGTGTCTGTCAAGAATACCAAGAATAACTGTTATGCAACCTTGATGTACAACCCCCAAACATACACACACTAAGTCTGATTATGTAAACACACTAGTAGCCACTGCAGGCTGCTAATACAGTTAGGATGAGTTGTTGAGGCTAACCTTCAATTAAACTTAGCCAGCCGGTTAAAGATAGGGTTGGTCATTTTCATAAAAAAACATTTTAGTTATATTTGTTGCAATTGTGTTTTTATCCCAACAATTATTTATAAGTCAAAAAAGACTTAGCAACTGTCAGAGCTGTTGCTGCCAGTAACTCTCATTGGAGAATAGCAGGCAACACTGGGTTAGTATTATTATTTGTTGTTGACACTCTTTGACGGGATCATTTTCACTGAATACCGATTTCAGACACAGTTGGCACTGCAACACATTTAGACCTGATCTGTTTTCGGACTACATACTCTATAAACGTGGCACAAATTGGAATAAAAAAATAAATATAATCTAAATCCATGTGCTGACATTGCCTGCAGCCTGAACATATCCCATGGCCCCCCCTCCAGGATCCCGTTCTTTCCACTGACCATGAGAATGTAAAACAGGCCTATAAATACCATGATGGTAACTCCTAATAACATAGTCCACTATAGCTTCCTATATCAGGTTATAAGGTTGAATGCATTACCCATATTAAATGTGAATTATAAATGTTCTCCTCTCTAACCTTATTATCAATTATACACAGAAGGCATCGCAGGTAACTGCAGAAGAGAAGTCTGTCTGCAGTCTGACAGAGTCAATGTTTCGTCCATTACATAAATGTCAATGGAGGGCTTCCCTCCTCTGAGGAAGTCATACACAACGTGTTAAGTGGGTGAGTGTCAGCAGCAGCTATCTTTGGGAGCCTCGCTGACCTCAGAGCAGCCACCCTGAGGATCAGAGCGGGGCAGAGGAGGAAGTGGAACAAAGTCACTAATCACTTCTCGGCAGCATAATGACATGCAGCTCCTCTCAAGTCATTATAGGCCCAGAAACTTCACACTGGATTAAAGCTGCTGCACTCACACAAAAAAAGACAAGATGGCAAGATTACTATGTTGGCGATTATGTTTGCTCTGGTGAAGACTATCGTATAATTGTTATACATGTGTTTTTACTCACTTTTTAAGACACGTACCACTTTACTGTTGCCATTATAATTGGGTTAATTTCTCTCCCAACACATACTTTCGTTGCAGTTGTATGTCTTAAATGTAATTTAGGTTAACTTCCTGTTTTATTTATATGCTTTTATTTTGAAGGCGAGTTTACACTTTTGACAGGAAGTTGTTGTTTCTATGGAAACGTGAAATGCTACATGATGTGTGTGTGTTTGTGCTCTGCTCAGCGTGTCCGACACCGGTATTTGTTTTAAATGACCATGAACAGTAATTTACACACATCTGGCTAACTCCATATGTGTATTCCCAAGTGAAAGAAGTTTGTTTAATCTTAATCTCGATTGTAGGCTAGTGCTAAGTGCTGTCGGAACACACACACACACACACACACACACAGTAATAATCGGGCAGTTTGATTTGTCTAACCATAAGAATCTCGTGCGAACGAGAAAGTATATTGTGCGCACAAATGAAGTTTGTTTGTAGCCTTTATTTAACCAGGTGAAAGCCCCTTGAGATCAAAAGATCTATTTTTCAAGGGTGACCTGCAGCACATTGGTTACACATGTAACATAAAAACAACAGAACAACAATAAGGACGACATACAGGCCACAAATTACATCTTGTGTGCACAAGTTAATAAAACGTGACCTCGTTTTATTTATTTTTCTCTCTATGAACCCTCCGGGGCTCCGTAAGGGGCTCCGTAAAATGGCATTGTGTAGATAACGAAAATGTTTTAAACTGAAGTAGATTTTCTCAGTTTGGTGCAAAACAGACAAGCCTTAAACTGCAGTTATATTCTTAACGTTAGGAAACTGTCTAAAACCTGCTGACACTCCAGACCCTCAGGCAGAAACGACCTTGACTTTAGTATAATGTTGCAGACTCTCTTGACAAAGAGAGGAAAAGTTTAGTTTCAGTAAGAGAAGCAAATAATTACATAACCATGCACAGTGAGAATATACACAAGAAGGGAGGAATGATGAAATGCTCTGCTCATAACACTTTTCAGTTATTCTGCTGTGTTTGTTTAACTGATCAAACTGTATTCCTCTCCATAGTAGAGGCAAATGAGAAAACACAATCAACTGTCAGAGAGTTTCTTTTGAGCGGCTCATCTCTGACACACTGGTGTCAGAAAAGAGAATGAGTTTCAAAGAGGAGATTTTATCTTTTCTACCCAATTAAGACAGATCCAGCTCAATGGCTGCTGCTGCTTCTTATTGGCTGCACTGTCTCTGACGTCATGAGGCTGTGGTCAGGGAAAAAGAGAGGATTTTCCCTCCTGATGTTACACAGGATGGCTCATGCTGGAATAAAACTGCTGCGTCACTGTAAGAGTAACAAAGACAAACCTGCATGTGAGTGTTGTGTATATTTTTGGTTGCAGATTTTTACAAAGAGTTTGTGTTACTGAAAAACCTGTTCTTAACTACTTCATCAACAACGCTTTTTGGTCAATCTGATTAAGACACTTCATTCTCCACAAACATTGGAGATTATCTGAGTCGTGACAGAGTGTAGCTGCGGAGGATTACCAAAGATAAGATATATTCTAATGCGTACATCCGCTGCAAACATTTACTGCTTGTTTCACATTAGATGCAGGTTTAAATAAACAGTCAGATGCACACAGAATAAGTGCATTGCTCCACATTCTAGCAGTCACAGTATATGATGAGTTGTGCTGGCAGAGGAAAAGGAAAAGGGCCTGTCAACGGAGAAGGACATGCATGAGGTGATTAGCTCATATCTCTTCAGGGCTCGCAGCTTCCTCTTTAAAGTCACAGCTGTGCCAATTGAAGAACCAATTTTGAAAAACAGGGTAGAGAGTAGCGAGTAAGATGGCAACCAGCATCCCAGTAGCCAATCAGAGAATCGAAATTCTGTTAAAAAAAAGTCAGCAATCCCCCGAACAGCAGTCTGAAACATCTATGTTAACACTTTGCTATTAATAGTTTTTTTTTGGGTTTAGAAACCAGAGCAAAACTTCTATCGAATCAAATGCCTGGTACTGTACAACTTCACCCATCAGGGCCCTGCAGCTATGGAGGTCATTCTCAGGAGTGAACATTTCAAACTGTGGAATGAAATGTGGAAATATTTTTAAAGGGCTTTAAATAAATAACACGTACCCACTACCAGTGTGCATGACACTGTAAAAGCCTAAACTTTGAGTCTACACATACAGGATTCAAATCTGCCTTGATGTGCCAAAATGTTATTAAAAAGGATAAGTGTGGTGATTTTTATATTATCACATGAAAAAAAAAAAACCTACAATGAAACAAATCCTATGAACAAGTATTGTTTGTATAGCCTAATTCTGATATATTCCTCATCTTCTTCACCATGCATGATGAAACTCCATTTGAAAAAACAAACATATTGAAATTAGAAAAGTCAAATATTTGTACATAACACTACAATGAAGGAAAAAGTTTGGTATCATTAGAAGTTAAAGTTTTTGTCTTTAAAATAATGAAATAAATACCAAGATAAGAAATTCAGGATTGTGTCTCATATCATGACATGTTCTAGTTTGACACTGTGGCTCATTGTTTTATTGAACCTGTCCCAATAGAGCGGAACAGGTTTACCCATGATCCCAACACATTACTTTATTAGTTATTTATCCAGCATACTTTACATACAGCTCATTATAGTATATACTATACGACTTCATGTTCACATTACGGCATGTCCCGAGGTCAGACACATACTGTATAACATATGCACATATCAGCCCACTCCTGGAAACACCTTTATGTGCACATCTCCTCAGTAGACCGTGCAGATGTAACTGGTGACTCAATATCATCATACCATAAGGGGAATGATGGTGACTGACAGATGCAGAGGTGGGTGGGAAGCAGGCAAGACAAGTGACAAGCTCCAACAGGAATACAGCTCCTTTGAAGGCGGTCGGGCAGCCCACTAGAACAAGGAAGTGACTCAACACCCCAAGGACTTCATATGACTTTTTCTACAACTTAACTCTCCTTTTTCAGCCCACACAACTCCAACGCTGCAATTTAACTCAACTGGAGGATTTTCACACGACAAAGTCGAAGCCGACTTTGAAGGAGTGTGCTGCGATGTGTGTGTCGTGTGAAGAAGGAGGAGCAGGAAACTGCCGAACGGCTCTCGTATTTCAAACGCAGGAGCGAGCAAGCTTTTAGGTCGGGTTGCAGAACAGGAAGAGAAACAACACTAAGTGAGATCCTACAAGAGGAAGTTGTAATTGTTTTCGGGCTACAGCCAGAGTGGGGAGAGTGTAGTAATATTGCATCATGTAGCGAGGATAGCATCACCTAAGCACAACCCACGCCGTTGGAGGCACTTGGGACACAAGACAAAACATTGTTTCCGGTGCAAGTTGATACATTTCACAATTACATCAATTAAATAATTTAAAACTACTTAAAAAAGGGATAGTTTTGATTGTTTGAAGTTGGGTTGTTTGAGGTACTTATCCATAGTCAGTTTGTTGCCTAAAGTAAAACGGCTGCCAAAGCTAAACACTGTACTGCTGTTGAGTTGAGTAAAGTTGGAACGATATTGGCAGCAAAAGCATATCAGCCACCTAAACATTGTCAGATTAAGTGTAGCCTATGCTATATTTAGAATATCTTCGACCCTTTACCTTGCCGTCAAGTCATTTGGGTACGGAATCTCGGCTCTCTTCAAAGCCACTAGACAAAATAGGTAATTTTACCACGAAAAAAACACTGGGGTTGCTGGTACATCTTTGCCTTGCTTAATAAGTGTGTCTGTGTGATTGTGTGACTTTGGGGTTTCAAAGGGTTGGTTAGGGTTCTCCAAAATCACACTAACATTAACCAATTGAGGCAGATGTAGACCAGAAACCCCCACTTCTCCGCAAGATAAAATTACCTATCAATGGATTCTGGAAGAGTATGAATTAATATAATAACTTCAGTTCCCCATTGGAGAAGGTTGTTCGACGGAAAAGTTAAGCCGTGAAAAGATTCTTAATAAAACGTACACTTTACTGATTGATTGTTTAAGGAAGGCCTTTTTAAGTTGCTTAAATCTGTATTGCTAATGTACCCGTCCACAGCAGCAGACTGCATTACTTTGCTGACGGAATAACTGTGTTTATTTTAACTAGGGCAGTGCAGATTGATGAATACCTTTTAGAGCCACACTTTCCATTTAATGTCTATGAGATGGGCAGAAGCTCACTAGACTTTTAGCAGAATGCGCCAACCAAGAGATAAAGAGGCAGGTTTGTTGATTATTGTCGTTGATAACACAATATTCAGTGTGAAAGTCAACCAAGTATCTCACGTTCAACCCTGTATTGTGATGGTAGAATGTCTTGCATTGGAGGTTGCTTAACCTGAATATGTTGTGCAATCAAGTTCTTCTCCTAAAGGGAGTGTCGGAGGATATTTTTAAAACGTGGACAAATCTTGCAGGCACTCAGACCCAAAGTGATTTATTTAACGAGCTTTGATTAATAATGCTGAACGTAACGATAATTTAAAGTCGGTAAAAGCTTTGACAGTGTCATTTGTGAGGTTATATAAAAAGGACAATTTGCTTTAATGTTTTAAAAAGAAGAAGAGGAGGGGTCATTAAATGAACACCCTCCACTGAATCAGAATCAGAATACCTTTATTAGTCCCACAGAGGGGAAAAGGTCCTTCTCCCCTGGACACTCCCTCACCTGTGTGTCCTCTCCGCTCTCTGGGTCAAACCCTTCTCAAAAACATTGATTGCTCATGAGGCCAATAAGCCCCTTCTAAAAATGAACTCCATTTGTCTTTGAAATTGGGGTTACGAGTGCACAGGACACAATGCTCGAAACACCGCAAACTGTAACAGCACAAACATTCTTGGTGCACCCACACACACACACACTCAGAGCGAGTGTGTGAGAAAGACAGAGGCCTATGACTTCCTCAGAACTGTTTCACAATCAAAATGATAAACGCTCTTGTAGATTGAGGTGCTTGTCGTTCTCAACAATGAACGAGCTATTTTTGTGTGTGTGCGTGTGTGTGCGTGAGTGTGTAAATAAAAAAGGAGCTGCCGTAAATGAAAGGTGTGAATAAAAGGACAGCCGCTGCGGCAAGGACTGCTTTGTAGAAAAGACTGTCCAGTTGTGGCAGCTAAGCTAATTTTCCAACATCTCAGAAAAGGGATAAGAAACACTGACGCTGTTTAGAGGAGGTTTTATTGTCACAGCACATGAAAGTGTCGACATTAAGCCAGGAAGCTGACACAGCGTTCACCTGTCTTTACTTACAGCGTGGCATTGAAAGAAAAGCATTTTACCATAAAATGCACAAATCAATAGCATTAAGAACAAAGACAAATCAATAATCTCACCGAGATGTATTGATAAATCTTCAAATTATTTTCTTAATGAACCAAGGGTACTATAAAATATATTTTTTTAAAGTAAAAAATGTCTGTGCAAGGGTCTCAAAGTCTAGAGTAATGTGTTCAAATGTCTTATTTTGTCCATCTTTAACCAAAGTATATTCACTTTAGTACGATATCAAAAGGAAGAAATCTGTATATTTGACAAGATGCAAACAGCATTGTCTCCCATTCATGGATGAAAAAATACTGTAGCAATGAATAGATATAAAATAACTTGCTAATAATTTTTCTGACAATCACTTAGGTCAACTAATTGTTGCATCCTTCAAAGATTGCAATCTTTTGCCACGAATATTAATATATGAAAAAATGCCAGGAACCATCCAAACCTTAAGTTCTCACCAAGGTTTAAACTTCCAAGTTATGTATAGAAGCAACAAGGTCACACACAGACACACTCATCTTGTGTGAATTGCAGCGTTGAGATGACATCTAAGCACACACTTCTCAGATGTTTCTCCTCCAGCCTAGATATGTTGAGGCTCATCGAGTGTGTTAAACCTCTCCTATCCTACGAATGATTGCTGTGGATGAGTCAACCATGTCACCTGGTCCTCCCTGCCTGTCAGTGCCACCTCCTAAAGACACTTGCAGCAGAGTGACAGTGGATTCCCACTATTCCCCTCACCTTGTCCAAACTAAATACACTGACAGTGTGACACACGGTGGAGATCTTGTTTGGGACATGTTGATTTAAAATGATCCTGCTGATAATGACATCCTGTTAACTGTGTCTCAGAGTGAAACATTGTACATGCATGCCAATGAGAGTGAGGTAAGCGTACCACCCGCAGAACAGCTTTGAGCGGCAGCGGCCTGGAACACAACATCAAGGCTCACACATAGTCCTTGCAGTCAACTACAAGGTCTGCGGTTTGTGAGCAGAGGGGAAGGAGTTAGCAACATCACTCTGCAACGACTAATGCTAAAATAGTCACCAAGCCAATTTCACTCAGCTTCTTCAATTGTGTTGGCTTGTGGAGCAGCTAGTGGATAACCCCCTGCATGTCCCAAAAGGAATAAAGGGTATCCCTTCTCTCCCTCCCTCCCTCCTGCATGTGTCGCACAAGGCAGGATGTTCACAGCTAAAAGTGAAAGAGATGTTATCTGTGGTAAGACGTTGCCTTTTTCCATGAAGTCATCACAGGCCCCTGGCTGCAACAAAAGGGCTTCTGTTTGACTGGCACAATGTGCCGCTCTGCTCCACAGCTTGGCCACACATGCAAATGACAGGCCGGGGGGGAAAGGTGTGGTGATGTCAGGTCCCAGCTTCACACGAAAATACTTATCCAACACCAGTGTCAAACATGAGGAGACTGCATGTGTGACCCACAAAATAAGCTATATTTTCCCTGTAAGGCATCTAGTTAATAACTCTACTTGCAGTGATAGGTTATTTGTTTGTGATCTGTATCAAAATGTTAGATGGCTTTAGAGATCTACTTCCTTCTGCTTTCTTGTCATTGGAGCTGGAAAGTATACAGCCATGTGCAGAACAACTGTTGAAAGTGAAAACAGGTTGTTCAAGATTTTCTGTTTCATTCTCTTCATTACCGTCTCATCCTCTTCCTCTCCCGAGCCTGCTCTGCACTTCCTGGTCTCTGAATGAGAGCTAGGGATGTCACATTACCGTGGTCAGGGGGAGGGGGGAGGGGGGTGCAATAAAGCTTTATTTAGTGAACTGTTTTATTTATTGAACTACCGTTTGACGCACTGACATAGTTTCCAACGAGACTTGACGACCTCATGGCACAATCTGAATAAAATGAAGTGGGATGAATGACATTGGTTTAAATTCCATTTGTGTGTATGCATTGCCATTTCCCTTGATCAGGTGTGTCTCTGCGTGCCAACTTTAACTGGTGCGATGTGCAATGAATGATTTCAACATGTGCAACAATGAATGTGCCACTTACATTTCCACTGAGTGTGCGCTAGAGGAAATAGGTTTTTATTTATTTACGCACACGATTTGCAACGACTTGAAATATAATGGCTGCATTTGGATTTCCAGGCAACAGGCTGTACTACGCACCAATATCAAGTGAAATTAAACATTTGACAAATTATTTAACTACTCACCGTTCGGTCCATATTTCTCCACATTGGCTTTGACTTGCTCCAGAGTCAGCCCAGTGTTTTCGTTGACGCTGAAGTTGTCCAAAACTTCACTCGCCGATTTAGTGTGTGCATTTTCCATCTTGGCGGACTGGGCTTAGATGATCAGATCGTAATGCATGTAGTTGAGTAATGCATGTAGCTGCTGAAGGAACTCTATGTGTGGCAAATGCGGTGTCCGGGGCGGGGGTGAAACAAACGGCAGTAATTTCCTCCTCTGCACGCTGAGGCGGCTGAGTGTCGGTCGGTGCGTCACCTGTGTGTCCCCCCTGGAAGAAAAGCTCCAGGTCCGCGGTACACACGCTGCTGTTACTCTGTGGGTCTGTTGCTGCTGCTACTTCATCTCCATCTGA